GGATTGATAAGAACCAGGGATTCATGTGCCCCCTTCCATCTTAAATACCTGAATTATGATAGGTAGTATAAATTAATATCCTTGATACTTTTCAGGCTATGAAACTGACAACTTAATTTTGGTTCTAGGAATCTGCCATTATTTTTGGTACATTTAAGCAATAGGATTCAGAATAATTTTTCTTGTTAAATACAGAGTGCATTTAACTATGCCTTCAATAACACAAGTGTGTACTCTCTTTTGTTGCTAACTCATTTGAAGATGACCTCCAAGGACCATATATATGGGGATGATATTATTAAGAAAGCTAAAAAAATGAAGGCAAAAATGTTACCCATATGTATAATAGTAACTTTTTAATTTTAAAAAAATTGTATTTAGCTATTTATTTAACATTTCATAGCCTTTAAAATTGCCTTATAAATGGACTTTGGAAAAAACTATTTCTTAATCTTTCTAAAGTTATATATTATACAGACATGTAAGCATACAAACAACTTTTCCAAATAAGCACCTTGCCTGTTATCAGGTTACTTTATCATAAAATGACTGTTCATTTCATTTGATTCATATGAGAGATTTTAGCAAACCTTTTACAACCTATAGTACATTGCGAAAATAAAAACATGATTTCTGTCATTACTACAGGACTGTATTTTTTAAAAAAACCTACGTATTAATTTGATTAGGTACAAATTTAAATTTTGTGTTTATACACACACAGAGAGACAGACAGACAAAATTCCAGCCCTGCCTTAGAAGTAAAGCTAGCTGGGTAATTTTCGGCCAATCACTCTTAGCCAAACCCACAGTTCTGGGGAAAATAAGAGAGTAATAGTGTACATTTGCTGCCTGGAGTTATTTATAAAAATAAAGGTGGGATATAAATAAAAATAAACACACAAAGGGTAATAAACAAGTTCCTACATTCATGTTTGTTTAAACTTAAAAACGTTTTTGCAAATGGCTCAGCGGATGACTAGCAATGTTTTGAAACCCCCCCAAGTACTGTATTTTTCAGACTATAAGATGCACTTTTTTGTCCCAAAAGGGGGTAAAAATGTCTGTGTGGTTTAGACAGAATATTGCCAAAGCCCCGCCCCGCACTGGCCATTTTTTGGGCTCTGCATGCCCCATTTTCGGCCCTATTTTCTGGCCTTTTCAGCCCGTTTTCAGGGCTTTTTTTCAGTCCATTTCCAAGGCTTTTTTCGGCCTGTTTTCAAGGCTTTTCTTGGCCCATTTTTGAGGCTTTTTCGGCCCCTTTTTTGTGTGGAAAAAACAGGCTGAAAAAAGCCTTGAAAACGGGCTGAAAAAAGCCTTGAAAATGGGCCAAGAAAAGCTTTGAAAACGGGCTGAAAGCCTCAAAAATAGGCTGAAAAGAGCCTTAAAAATGGGCCTAAAAAGCCCTCAAAATGGGCCAAAAAGCTGCAAAAATGGGTAGAAAAAAGGCCGCCAAAAAGGCCAAAAATGGGGCACACGGAGGCCAAACCCCCTTTTTTAATGGTTTTCATCTTCTAAATTTAGGTGCGTCTTATAGTCAGGTGTGTTTTATAATCCAAAATAATGCGGTAGATTATAAAAACCCAGAATAAAAAAGTCTAATCCCATTCCTTGTTAGAAATTACAGTCAATTCTCATACCCTCAGTAGAAATAACACACCATTTTAACAGCAGTTAAGTCAAGCCATCTGAGTAAAATTAAATATTTTGGAGCAAGCAGAATTTTTGTAAAGGTACTTAGAATATAAGAATTATGAAGGATTTAAAAATAATTATTTCAGCTGTATTTTTACAGGCTTGGATGGTTGCAGTCAGCCTGTGTAATTGTGGTTTTGAGTTGTTTTACTTCAGCTGTCCTGAGTTTTTATGTTGTTTTTATATTATTCAAACTGTTATCTGCCCGGGGTTGCTGCAGCAAGATGGATGGCTATGCAAGTTGAAATAATAAAAATAAAATAAAATCTTTTGCTATAACATGTTAGTTTCCTAAAGATTATAGAACGATCTTCTCTGGAAGGGCATTGATCCAAAGGAGATCCAAATGATTTTTATATCTATTCTGTGGTGGAATATACATAAGCTATCCAGATTTATCAATAGATAAGGATATAGGTAAAGGTTCTCCTCGGACATATGTGCTAGTTGTTCCCAACTCTAGGGGACGGTGCTCATCTCCGTTTCAAAGCCAAAGAGCCAGCGCTGTCCGAAGAAGTCTCTGTGGTCATGTGGCAGGCATGATTAAACGGCAAAGATGCACAGAACGCTGTCACCTTCCCAAAAAAGGTGGTTCCTATTTTTCTATTTGCATTTTTACATGCTTTCGAACTGCTAGGTTGGCAGAAACTGGAACAAGTAATGGGGGCTCAACATGTTACGACGCAGTGCTAGGAATTCGAACCACTGACCTTTCTGATCAATCTGCTCAGCGTCTTAGCCACTGAGCCACCGCATCCCTTAGATAAGGATATAGGAGTATCTTAATACTTTGCTAAGGTCCACAAAACAATAATCCTGAATAGTTGCTGTCCTATGATTTTTATCAACAGGAAAACAAACAGAATCCACAAATGAAGAGCAGTTCCCAACAATGCAAAACCTCTAAGTTGCACACAATTGTCTACATTGCCAGGTGTTTTCAAGCAGAATCTCTCTCCTTTTATGTGACTCTCTGGATTTATTGCAAGTGAACTTATCGTGAAATGTTTACATTTTTGTTTATGACACTATAAAATGAATTGCATGCAGCAAAATACCCAAAGCATCAGGATTTTTAAAAGGCAAATACACAGATGTTACCTAAAAATAATCAATTTCTAGGGTTACATATTTATTATATGTCGTATGTACTGTTATCTCAACATTTTATCTTCAGATGCTCTTGATTCCGTTGCTAATAATTATAGAAGTTTGCTGATTTGGATTACTTTTATAAATATAAAATCAGAGTAGGTCTTAATGAGGTATTCACTAACATCACCCCCAACTTCTATAGTATTAGTTAAGGATAATTTTACATCACACTGGTAAGAATCATTTTAACAGTGTTAAGATTTCCTATACAATGTCTGTGTTTTAGAAATAAATAGATGTAATAGCAGAGTCCTCTATGGACCTGCAGATTTAATTCAGTAATAAATAAATGAACGTTGTAAGCTACCCAAAGCCACCTGTTTGTCAGTTGGATAACCATATCAATGTATATAATGAAATAAGTAGTTCAAGATACTCTTGACTATAAACCTTGAATTGGTTACATGAGCCACTTAACCACTATGACCAAGAACATTTGTATCAAGCCACAATGGTGCAATTACTGTATGGAATTAAATTTGATGTACCAAAATAATGTAGTATGCATATTGACATCTTAATGCATGTGTTATTTGCCACTCTACTCCCCCATGAATACCTATGATTTTAAGAATCTATTCTCTTCAAGAGTCCTGGGATCAAATACTGTGTTTGCAGTTCATTCTATCCCAGAATATTTAAAAAGTGGTTTGAACAATCCATACTGATCAAACTTCGTATCACCCTAAGCATAATGGTTTACTAGCCAGAGGTAAACCACATTAATTAGCTGGTTGAGGACCCACGTCATTACAAAAAGAGTTGCATTCTAAATCCAAACATTTTTTTTTCAATCTAGTGCTGAATAAAGCTGTGCAATGTAGTTCCATCATTATTCACAGCCACCATAGGACAATCTACATAAGCCAATATCTTTCTCTATTTTGAGTGATTCCTTTCATGCTTAAGGTAATGATGCTGTATGAAAAATGTGGATCGAGAACTCTAGAAAATGGGATTATAAAACATGTATACATATATAACCATATATAAAAACATATATAACCAATTTTGTTGTATTTAAGTACAATGACAATAAAGATTATATTTATACTATACTTATGTACTGACACACCAGCTGTTTGAAAGCTCCAGTTACATTATTTTTTCTAAATAAAATGGATCAACAAATATGCTTATAAGGTAGCTGATATCCAATATCAGAAAACCATCATATAAATGATCATTAAGAGCACCAAAATATGTCTGCTTATATTAAAGATTTTTTTCTATTTTTTTAAAGCTGCATTTTTAATGTATCTGAAAAATGTGGTTAGTTAAGTAATTTCCAATGAGTAGAAAAAGGGCATATACTTTACTCCTAACAAAACAAATGTAAAAATCATAAAATTATGCGAACTTATTTATAGAAGGGACAAAATCTAGGTTTCCCACTAAAATTTAATTTTCCGCATGAGCGTTCAAACCAAGAAATATTCAAGATAGGAAAACAAGCAAAGCTTCCCGCTTCCTTAGCATGAGGAAAGACAAGCTATTATTCTGTCATATTCACTGAACAATTATGCTGCTTAAATTTTACTTATTTGTGAAATCAGCATCAATGTTGCAAGGACACAATCTGACTGTTCAAAACCATGTCTCACAGCTACTTTTCTGCAGGATTTTTTTTTTGTTCTCTTCACAAATTGTTTCTTCAGAAACAAAGTTAAGTAATATTCACATACAGTAATGCTGATTTTCTAATGAGAAGCTATAGTGACAGCTACGGCATTGATTGGTTTGCATTTTAGGTACAATATTTCATGTATGTATTAATCAAGAAAGATAAACAATGGAAGGAGTCCAAATTATGAATAAGCCTTAAAATAAGATCTATTGTACCCACAGAAACTGTAGCAAAATCTTTTCAGGGATTGCTGAAACAGAGACAACATTTTTCTATCAAGTATATTTTTACTGAGATTATTAACAGGAAATTTGTGAATACAACCACTGTTTCGATGATTGCAGCTGCATCTGTTTTTAAAAAAAGATTCACATCAAGCCATTTCTTTGGCACGCTAGCAAAATTTCAAAGAATTAGTAGAAACTTTCCAGCAAATAAGGAATTCAAACCAGGATCATTAGCCACTATTTTTTTTTTCCAATTTGAAGATTCTAACATGTTGTGGAAAGCAAATAGGTGTAAAATCTGTTTAAACCACCACTTTTATTAACTGATAGAAATAGTACAAATTTTCAATTCAGCTGTCATTTCTCTGTAACACCAAAAAGTCCTTTCTGGATGGCTACATCGTTAATTCCTGGAAAGAAACAGAAAAGAGCAAGTGAGAAACAACCTTTTTGTTTATTCCCTTAGGTGGTGGAACGGAAGCAAATTGTTTAGCTACCCGGCACAGCCAAGTGACCCTGAGGGCTATTATTAAAACTGCCTGCGAGGTCAAGGAACAGCAAGGGTGCAATTGTTGCTGTGACAAAGCACAGGCAAAGATACAGTGCCTAGTTCCTGAATAGTTGCCTAGGATATAACATTGAGCACTAAGGCATTTATGTAACTCCCGAGGAAACAATATTGCTGTATTTGTATTAGAAGCTTAAAGAGGTTTAACTGGACTATTTGGAAACAGACGTTTCTCCTCTAAGTCACTTCTTTGCCTCACTGCATGGTTAATCTACAGCAGTTAACCTAATTTTTAGAACATATGGCATCTTGATATCCATTTCTCTTGTACTCTAACAATCACTAGCAAACGTACTGAATAAAAACAGAACATTATTCTTGTAATGAGCTGGATAATCAACCAAAATAACCACTTAAAATGCCCATGGTCAATTCTCCCAAATATATACTAGAATTTGGGGTACAGCAGCCTTAGTCACATACAGCACTCAATCAAGCACTTACCATAATTGCATTTACGATATCATTACTGTTATTCTTTAGGGCACGAACTGCTTTTGCCCGGGAAACATTTGCTTGGGACATAACTAACTCAATGTCTTTCACCTCGACGCCAGTCTCATCAACCTGGAAGGAAGAAGATAGATAATCTCTCAAGGCATCTGCCAGGTTTTTCTGTCAATCAGGAAAGAGATGCTCTATTACTCTGTAACACTCAGGATCCCATAGTAACTGTAAGAACCTCCTAAGATGCCACAAAATATAGCCTAATGAAACCTTATGGATTGTTACAGACATTCTAGTGAACTTAAAAAACTCATGTTTTCATTTTTTATCTCATGAGTAACACGGAATGACAAGTGGTCTGGTGAAAAATATAGCAAAATAGAGAGCTTGTTATAAAATCCAGGGAAAACAAATCAAGAAAAAGGGCAAAATGGAGACTCATTGCTTATATAGTATCATACACATCTAGGAATTCCAAAACTTAATGAACAAAACGCAACAGATTGGCCTGACTGAATGAATCCTGTACTATCATATATAGAGAGAGCATGGCTTGATTATGAGAGAAAAAAATATTACAGAGCTGACTAATAGGTCTGCTATGTCTCACATTTCCAAAGCACTTCCTACTCTGAGCTTTGCTCCATCCCAGTCCATGCTAGGCATCTGCTACTAATGATGGAGAATAAGTTGTCTATGTGCACTGCAGGGAACAGGCCAACCACATTGGTAGTGTACAAGATATCAGGCAGTGACATCAATGAATGGCAGCTTTTCTAACACGGGATGAAGCTGAAGCACAATTATAGTTATTAGGATCATGCATGGCACACAATTTAGTTAACAAGTGGATGCCTCTAGCAAAAATTCACTGAAACTAGAGACAAACTGGCACTTAAAAAAATACACAGTACTCCGATTCAAATGCTGGAAGGAAGATACTGAAGAATATTCATTGATAAACAGGCTGTTTATTTCAGACTGCCACTTAAATGGAAGAAAATATTTGAAAATGATATCTGAAGATTCAAAAAGAATGTTTAAAAACTGATAAAAAGTCAAGCAGTATGGCACTTTCCTGGTTGCAAGAATAGAGGTACATGTATACTGTAAGTACTACCATGACAAAACCATGAAAAAAACCTGGAATGAATTACACCACCTGCCTACTGTGGACCTGGAAATATAAAGGAAGCTAGATATTTACAAGAGATGGAGAAGGCGAGCACAGGCTGGCCAGTAGACATAATATAAGATACAAAGCAGTATCACAGGTTCTTTTTCTCATTGCCATTTCAGTTTGATACCTCTTTTTAGCCTGATACTATCCCTAGGAAGTAATTTTATATTCACAGGTAGGCTCATACATGTCTCAGCAGACAAAATTTGAGGCAATGATTTAGCATAAACTACTAGATGCATGTCTTAAACTTCCTGAAAAATCCAGCTCACACATTTAAGAGTGATCCTTACCTCCTCCTCCTCACTTTCTTCTTGTACAGTAGGAGTCTGTGTGTTTTCCTGAATATTTGAAATAGCTTCTCCTTGCACTTTGAATTTCTCAGCAGCAGCCAGCTGTGCTTGCTGAGAGAGATCTTCAATCTGGTAGAAATGGATGAGGGGAAAAAAAAACAACTTAATGACTTGTAGAATTTTTTTTGATCATCTACAATCAGATAGTTTACAACTGACAATGCTAGTGGGTTGCAAAGAAAGCAAAATAGAGAACTTTATAAATAGTGATACTGATAGGTTCTGCTTTCACATTTTAACTCTTCCCATGAAACAAAGCATCCACATGAACTTGTTGTCAGAAAGGTCCTGCAGAGCAAATGTTCTTTGTTTGTTTGAATGTTAACCCCAAGTTCTAATTGGTAGCAAATCTACTGATAGTTGCAGAAACAAATGGTAAAGACTTCCTTGCTGGGGATTCCCTAAATTCAACTTACCTTTGCTTCTCCAAAGACTATATAGGTATCGGAGGCAGGACTTTTATATACATCTGGCTTGGTAATTACAAAGAGGATGTTCTTGGATTTCCTGATAGTAACTCTGGTTACACCTGTGACCTGACGAAGGCCAAGCTTGGACATTGCCTTAAAAACAAAACATAATTGTTTGAGGAAAAGATTTTGACACAGAGCACCTGAGCTAGACTAATAAATGGATTGCAGATGAGCCACAGCGAGATCAGAACACTGGACTTATCATAAAGGTCCCTTTTCTAAAGCAGGGTTTTCACAATTCCTTCTGCCATGTGGGAAAAAGTCTAATTCATTGCAAAATTACTCCTAATACTCTATTTATTTCTTTAATTTATGTAGTCACCCACTTCATAGCTGTGGGTGGCTTACAGTAAAAAGAGAAAAACAATTAAAATGTATTATATAAAAATGCATGGCAGTTGAGCTTCATAAAGTAATGGTTAACAAAACCAAGAGCCAACCTCCATCATAGTCCAGGCTGGGCCCAAACCTAAGTTTTTAGTTTTAAAAAAGGCCAATAGGGTCAGGGCCAAGGGGGAATGAAGTCCCATAGTTTAGGTGCCCTGCCCTTCTCCTGCATCCTGCCAGCTTACACCCCCTCAACTGATGGCACTCAAAGAATGCCCCCCCCCCCGACTGGATGGGTACAAACAATTGGTGAAAAACAGTCCCCTAAATTAACACAGTTGTAAAGTGCTGTCAAGGCAACTACCTGCACTTTGAATTGTACTCAGAAGCCAATGCAGCTTGAGGAACACACGCACTCAAAAACCGAAGCTTCCAATTATTCTTTCAAGTGCTTCATGTACAGCATATTGCAATAACTATGATTTGGCGGTCATATAGGCTATAAGATGGCCAGTGTAATGGAAGACACACTCATTACTTTTTGATAAATGTAGAACACCTACACAATCCTTTCCTGAAAGGGAAATGGCACCTCCCATTCAAAACCCAACTCAGAATTTTGTGCCAGTAATACGGTCAACTATGGGTTATCTCTGTTTCATCTTCTTCTATAAAACAAGGATTGCACTTCAGAGTTTGACTGTTTTTAGAATAAGACTTCTCTGGGCAAAAGATTCCCTGAAGAGAAGCCAACAGGGATGTATTCAAATATATTCCTTTCTGTGATATACAAACATTTGGAATTTTTGACAAGTTGAATGTAAAAGTTTATCTGATGCCCTGTACATTTCACAGTAGTCCTCTTTTGATCAACAGGTTTTCCAAAATAAGGATGTGCTATAAGAAATGACGTGTAGAAATAGCAACAACGACAAAAAATGAAGTTTTGATAGTTGCAGTAGAACAGGTACTGCAAGACAACCTTAGATGGTATATGTTTACATGATTAAAGATTCAGGGGCACCAACAGTTTCTGTTGGCCAAATCAAGCAAGCCACCAGGAACTGTCAATTTGATCTTACCTTCCGTGCTTTCTTTTCACTCCGGCTCTGTTTTGCTTTGCTAACTGGTTCCTCATCTATTTCAGCTGCTGCTGCAAGCTGTCAAGAATACCACATACTTTTTTTAAAATGCTGATCATCATGAGAACCTGCACATGCATATCTTCACCAAAAAGCCTCCAGATTAAAATACAGGGCCAGTGTTTCGCCAGACAACTCCCAGTTTCTTTAATTACTCCCAGCTTCTTGCACAACTTCAACTACTGAACAGTTATTTCTATACTAACTCAGATCACAATGATCTGTGGATAAGTAAGTTTATTGGATAGTGTCATCAGTCTTTGGAATTTTCCCTGTGTATTCTTCAGAAGAGAAAAAAAAGTTCTGGGTGAAACTGAGTGAGGTCAGAGATAGGATGACAAACATTACAATCCACAGCAGGGAAGTTCCTTATTTACAATATTATTTATCACTACAGCACTCAAATGTTAAATAAAGCCAACAAAGGGGGGAAAAGATAATGGAAGGGAAAGGAAGCAGGGCATGATGAAAAAACCCAGAACAGTAACAGCTTTATCTCCGTATTTTGGAAAATATATATATAGCAGAAACAAATTCAAGAAATTGCCCAGTTAACACCCATTGTAATTTATCTCTTTAACTCCTAAAATGTTCTTTGCATGATTTATTCAAAAGGAAAACACCCACTTTTTAAAATATATTACGTATACTGGATACTCTTCCTTTAGTTTCATGTTTGGAAATCGTAGCATACCAACTTTAGATACATATCCATTATATTTACCATTTCGCTAACTGATATAGACAACATGGATAAAAAATTGTGACATGGCACAAATCAGAATGTGCACTAATGTGAAAAACTATTGCAAATCAGGGTACAAAACTTTTTTTTAAGCTGAGATCTGCACATTGCCTCTGAATTGTATATGTTAGATACAAAGAAAGCTAGGGAGGAACAGGACAAAAACAAGTTCCACTGAGCTGATCATGGCTAATTTTTCATAATTCTCACCTCCATGCTAGATAGGTAATGATACATGGGAAGAATTGAGATGTAGAATGAGTAAGCATTACCCAAACGTGTCGGTGATATTGCTGATACTGACTGGGTAGCTGTGCAATTTTTTTTAAAATTTTGTTTGTTATTTTAAAAAAGTAGTAGAAAGTGTCAGCCTCTTATCTAACTAAATTATGTATTCACAATTGCTGTGTGAGTTTTTTGAGGTTGAAATATACTTACTTTTACAGCCCTGCCCAAGCATATGAAATACAGTTTATGCTGTTCTTCTTTCCCTTTCTCACCTGCGCCTGCTGTGTGGTGGCCTGCGTGGAGTCCTGTTCTTCAAGTTCTGGCACTGATTCATCGCTGTCGGATTCTGTTCCAGAACCTACAGAAATCAACATGCATAATTTCTTTCCAACTTGGTCTCTATTGGGAGTGGCAGGCAGGCCCAGAGCTTTGCTGCTTGGTTCATGAAGAAACTTTTATTGTGCAAACATTGTTAAAAAAATAATTTCAAGCCAAAATACTTCAGAAATGTCTGGTAGTAAAAGAACATATCCCCAACATTTCCCACACACATAGAAAAAAATAAATTTACAGACAACGAAATTCCGAAATGGCAGTGATGTAATATAATAGTGGTTTAACTTATGTGGCAATAGGACAGGGAGTTTGTTCAATCAAGGTTCACAGGAAGAACAGGTTTCTTCCTGGGAACTTGCAAGCAAGGTGTTGATCACATTCTCAGGGTAAGGATATTGTTTCATTTAACTAGTACTTTAAAAAAAATAAATGACCGTTTCATTTTGGCATATTGTAATTTGGCCCATGATTGGAGATTAGAAATATGCTATGGATCTGAACACCTTTCCTCATTATGCATAGATTCCCTTCCTTTTCACAATTTGTGAGACCTAGGGTTTAGCATGATGTGTACATAGGACAAACAACAACTAGCACCAATTAAGACTGCTTCAAAGTGGATTCAAACATTACACTAATCCATGTTTTAATTATGAATTCCTGTTCAGTGTTCTGAAGCAGCTGGGTTTAGTACACAGAATTCAGAAATATGATTTAAATTTGTTCTGGCAAACTGGTTATCCTGCATCAAAGAACAAAGGAACGTGAGCAAGGGAGTGCAAGATGAAGAAAGTCTGCTTAAGTTCATGGCGCGTTCCCAAGGTTTTAAAACAATCAAACTTAAGAAAGATGTTTGCAAGGACTAAATGAACACTAAATGATGACTCACTTAAAAAGTAAAAGTACTTTTAAAGCATGTAATATTTTGCATTTGTATCTTTCAGAGATAACTTCAAAACACCACCACCATTATATGACTGCCATCTCTGGATGCAAGTTTCAGTGAAGTGCTAGCTCACATGCCTTAATATCTGTGTGACTGCAATGCAAGAAGGGAATAAATGTGATTACTGACAAAAAAGCATATTCAGGGCACAGGTTTTCTGGAACAAGCACAACTGATGTCCCCATCTGTCTTACTAATACTACCTTAATTCCAAGTGATGCTAAACCCTGGCACGCTTACCCTAAATTGCATATGCATGTGACTACATTTAAGTGACTGAAAATTGGACAGAAACACCAGACTACTAATTTCTACTCTCTAACAGACAACACGTGAATTTAACACACAGGGTATGCAAGTATTTAACAGAGAGCTTCCTATTTATACACACTCATCCAAAATGCAGTTGCAAATATAGACACTGAACAATAAACTGAAGGAGGACATCAACATTAGACCACAAATTCTTTAAGGATGAGGGTAAAATACCACCTCCTAGCACAGAACATACCATGAAATGCATCTGCAATTAACAAAATCTACTAGATATGCAACCACAAGCAAAACACTAGAAACAAAAAAAGCAGGCTGAAATGACAGTGTGCCATTGAAAACAAAGAGGTGATTACAGTTTCTAGGTTAGTTCTCTTCCAGAGATATCAGCTCAGACACATCTATTAAACACACACATCATGCCCAGTGATTCAACTATCACATTAGTAGTGTATGTTCTTAAACATAAATCATGAATCACAGTGTGCACAACAAACTTCAACTATGACAACTTAATCTAGGTTTATTTTGACTTAGTAAATTTTAAATCCTAAATGGCGTGTTTCTAGTCTAACAGTTAAAGCAGAGGGAATTCACACTCCATGCCTGTACAATTAAGTTAGTATTCAGTGAGTGGCCTTTGATATCCATGCACACAGCAAACCGAAGAGGCAAATACCCTTGTTATTCTTCAGGAAAGGCTGTTTGATAGGAGGTGGTAAAGGAGCAGTTGCTGGAACCTCAGCAAGGGGCACAGCTGTCTTAGGAGAGAAGTCCACCAGGACTGGCTGCAGAGGTGACTCCTCAACATGTACCTCTGGAGGGATCAAGGGTGGCAGCTCGTCGTCTTCAAAGGTAGTAGAGATAGGGCTGGGGGTCACTTCAGGTGCTAAACCAGGTGCAGGTGCAACAGGGGATGGCTTGGGAAGCACAGAGGAAGGTTCTAGCTTTTTCACGGGGGTAGAAGGAGAGGGTGCAGGAGAAGCCGGCTGAGTGAGACTGCTTGCAATAGGAGGAGTAGAAACAGAAGGATCAGCAGGTGCAAGAGGCAAAGGTGCCATTTTCTGGGAAGGCATCGCCTTCCCAGTTGAAATGGAAACCTGGCTTATGTCTAAGGCGGGGACAGGGGGCAATTTGGGGCTAGAAACAGGACTAAGGGTTACTGGAGTAGAAAATGCTGCTGCAGGGGAAACGGAAGGAGTCCCTGCAGAAGGCAGAGGCGCAATGCCAGGAGGAGGGACGGCAGAGGCTACAAGGTCAGGAGAGGAAAGAGGTTTAGGAAAAGCAGCAGGGGTTCCAGGAACGGTCACTTGTGCGGGCACCGCAGAGGGTGCTGGGTGAGAAACTGCCATTGTTGGGCCCACAGGAGACGTTATCAGGGCAGGTGTGGCTGGTGTCACTGGAACTGAAGCCATCTCTGCTACAACTATAGGTGATGCCTGATGTTCAGGAGGAGGCACCTCAGAAGCTGCTGCTGGATGGGAAGCAGGTGCTAATGAACTAGGAGTAACCCCTTCAGAGGCCAGAGGAAGGGCTGTGGATCCAGAAATAGGTGCAGGAGTATGGGCAGTAGGCGTTGCAGGACTAGAAACATAATCTGCCATAGACAAAGAGCTAGAAGCAAGTTCCGAAGTTGAAAATGGCTTCACAGCAGATGCTGGTGAGACAAGAGCAGGCTCTACTGCAGCCACAGGGCCAAAATCAGCCGCAGGCTGAGAAACAGCCGTCCCTGGAGTTACAGAAGCAGATATGGAAGGAGCAGGAGCTAGTCCCAAAACAGGTGGGACCCTCTTGGAAGCAGGTGGCGAAGGGCCCGTGGGAGGCATTGCTGGACTAGAAACAGGGGCTGAAAGGGGAGCAGATTCCACAGGGGGTCCTGTAGGAGCCACAGGACTAGGAACAGTTTTCACAGGCTGCCCTTTGGGTAGTCCTGGAGCAGAGATTAGTCCTGCTGCTGTAGCAGAAGAAGGGGAAATGGGCTCAGGAATAGGCCCTGAAGAAGTAGATTTCATTGGGGGCGATGGAGGAAGCGAAGGTGTAAGAACAGAGCCTGATGAGGACATAGGACCTGAAGAAATTTCTGAAGAGGAAGACGGTTTCACAGAAGGAAGTACCGTACTCTGTTCTTTAGGCTTAGACACTGCTGTGCCCAGTGAAGCAGAGCCAGAAATAGGAACTGAAGTGGGACTCTCTGGCTGTGAAGAAAGTGGTACAGGGCTAGAAGGGCCTATTGGGGTTCCAGAAGGTGCTACAGTCCCAGAAGCAGGCTTCATTATTGGACCTGCTGTGATCATAGCATCAGCAGGATGTTCTGAGGGAGGAGGTTTCACAGGGGACTTAGCAGGAGCCACCTGTTTAGAAGCCAGTACTGCTTTGTCTAGAGAAGTAGTTACAGAGTCAGAAATGGTTGTCAAAATAGGAGTTTGTAGCTGGGAAGAAACAGATAGTGGACCAGACACAGGGCATACCTCTGGGGCTGCAGGACCAGATGCCAATTTCACAGGTGGTAGAGAACCAGAAACAGGTTTGCCAGGAGGACCTTTGGGTAACAATGGTGTAGGAGCAGGCTTTGCTGGGGACATGATACTGGATTCAGGACCAGAAGTAAATTTTGCAGGTGGTATTGCAGGAGCAAGCTTTGCTGGAGACAAAGGATCAGCCCCAGAAACTTTAGGAGATGAAGCCGGGATCTCAGAACTGGAAATAGATGCCAAAGGAGTCACAGGATGAGATGCAGATTCTGTAGGTGACCCTGCAGGATGTCTCGGAATCGATACAGGCATTGGAGAAATGATGGGACCGTGAACAGTCACAGAATCAGGAAGGGATGGAATAGAACTGATGGGTATGGAAGGCTGGTGAGGGGGAAGAGAGGATGAAATGGGAGCCACTGGATCGAGAGTAGGGGTTGCAGTGTTAGGGATAGGAAGTGTTGGTGACAAAGCAGGAGCACCGGCAGAATCTGGAGGGAAAGGAGTTGGACTAGAGTGTGAAGCCACAGTAGTAGGAGCTGGAACTGCATCAAGGATGGGAGCTGTAGCCATAGAGAGAGACACAGGAGCAATTGGGAGAATGAAAGGAGCTGGGACAGGAGATGATGGAATTGGAGAAACTGAGGCTGCAGAAGTTGACCCTGCTGGGCTTATAGGAGATGTTGATGGAGCAGAAGTAAGAGATCCAGAGGCAGTTACTGAGGCTGGGGGAGAAGCTACAGGCCCTAAAGGTAGGGACATGTCAACAGGTGCAACACCAGCCATAACTGGTGGTTTCATGGGAGAAAGGGTCTGAGATAACATAACTGAGTCAGCCAAAGACAAAGCAGCATCAGGAGTGGCTTGTACCAAAGAGACAGAGGTAACCAGTTCTGGTGTTGTAGTGAAGGGACAGAGGCTAGCAAGGGGAGAGTTAGCATCATGGCACGAAGCGGAAGGGTGGAGGGGGCTATAAGTAGAAGAGGTGGAAACAGCTGCTAAAGGAGAAAAAGTAAATCAGCATTGGAAAAAGAACATGTAGGAAGAAAAATCAAGTTATCTATAAAGCCTCCCACATGGAAGCGCTGTTACTTGTTGTAGGGGAGAAATTATTAGAGCTGCTGCCAGAGAATTTTTTTCCTCCCACCCCAAGCAACTTTTCTGGGACACTTATGAATTTTTAGCCATTATATCATTGGCTTACTCTTGCGTACTGTATTGTATTACTCTTTATTATGTAAAATGTTATTATACTTTACTGTATTCCAGTTTGGCAGCATGCACATTTGATGAATAAAACCAAACTGTCTTTGCAGCCATAACACTTCAGAAAGAGACAACATTTCCCATGAAGACACACAATCTTCTTTGAGTTGAACTCATTTCCTAGTCACTTTAGAGACATGCCCATGTAATTATTTCTTTTGAATATTACTTTCACAATCTAGCCATTTCCCATAATTTCCCACCCAACTTAGTTTTACTGAGATCAGCCAGTCAGCTTGATGCTGCCAAATAGCTGGGGAAATTACTATACCACAGCTAAGCTATTCAGGTATTCACTGATTAACAACAGCCTAATTCTGCACCTCTTCAAACTTGTGTATAGTCTTGAAAAATAGATTATGACCGGTCCTCAAAATGATGCCCGTTGAAGCATCCTCATTCATGTGGTCATGACTTGAGCATTTTGAAACTGATGGGCATCTGCAATGATCACAGCATCCCATAGTCATGTTATTGTCATTTGTGGTTCTTACTGGCATGCTTACTTACTGACAAGTCAATAGAGAAACTGTCAGTAGGCTGCAAGTTGTGGTCATGTGACATCAGGCTTAATTACCAGAGGTAATTTGGTTAATTACTGCAGTGGAACTGTGTAAGATGTAAGCTGGGTACAGTAATGTGAAGTTTCACTTAACGACATTACTTAGTGCTGAAATTGTCAGTCCCAATTTTGGACATTACGTGAGGATTAATTGTAGCTATCACTTCTGGCCCAAATGAATCTTACCATAAATTCAACCCTTTAACAGCTGCTAGTAGTCTTTTTTTCCTATCAGCTTCATTTTAAGATAGTAAAGCTGCTAGTTCAGGAAACAAGTTGCAACATTTAAGCTTGAAACATTCACTCCACTGTGGTGCACTGGAAATTTGAAAACTTTTGTTTTCTATTTTAAGGAGGGAAGCCTGTGATTTTAAATTAAGTTTATTACAGAAGCCTCAAGTAAGTCAAACTATACTGTATCAATGAAGCATACTGAAGCATCCCCATTTCAGGCAAAACATTATAATCTATGAACCCAGGCATTTGATTAGTTAAACTAAGGACAGAACTTGAACATAGTTTTGGCCTTCAAGCATAGTGATACCAACTACCATTCACTCCCATCAGATTGTATGCCATATTAAAGTAACTGTATTAATCCAACACTATAAATATACTGTTGAAGACGGCATATGCTAAGATTAAGAACAAATACCTGATGCTAGAATGGGAGGCTGAGAACAGACTGGAGGTGCTTCAGCAGCACCAGGAAAAGAAGCAGGAATGGCAGATGCTGAATGAGCAAAATCAACAGTTATTAAAAGCACATCGATAAAACAGGAGCTAGAACAATCAAGAAGATTCTATTCTTTCAGCTCGATCAATAGAACCAATAAGACCTCCACAGTTAAAAGACTTTGGATCAATTCATGGAAGTTTGGAGGATTCAAGGCTATTAGTAGCTTTGATGGTGCTGTAAATGCCTCTGAAGCCAATCTACTGAGAGGTTATGGGCTTCCCTCTACAGTTGGTTGATTTTGAAAACAAATTGCTGACTAGATGAGCCAGGGTTGTTTGTGATCCAATAGCCACTTGCCTATGTTCTTATATAATTCACATGCAACAGAAAAGCTAATAATTGCATTAGTGACCTGCAAGTCTCTTGGGTTAAATTATTTAGAAAAAGCCAGAAGCATAAACTCAGAGAGGTAACATAATATATATGTATTTGTTTGATTGCATGGGACAAGGAATCTCATGTGACCTAAGGGCTCTGGTATCTTGAAATCTTCCTCTAGTTTATTTTATTTGACTTATTAATAGAACTCATATAGCTACCCAATTCATAGTGACTCCAGGTGGCTTACGTGTAAAATCCCAAATACAAAACCCAATATATATTACGTTAGACTGGCTTTTCCAAACTAAGGCAAAAAAAGGAGAAAATAGTTTTATAATAAGAACTTTCAAATTCATTAAAAAAATAACACTCGAGTCCTTTATTCTTTTATCTAGAGTCTAGACTAATGAGTCAGCTGAGCAAAACCTTTTGCTACTGTAATAACTCTAATAGTGTGAGTTGGGATGACAACAGGACTGGGATGGCATCCAGAATTCAAGGCAAATATAGCAAAAGAGTGATGCAAAAGCTAGATTAAGCATGTGGTCCAACTATATCAGTATGGAAACCAAATCTATGAAATTCAATCCTATTCCATCTTGAAGTTTATGCCTTTCTGCTGCTTGCACTTAAAGCTCATATCTTAATTCAAAATATTCCTGAAAAAACACCAGAATCCACAAGATGAAAGGGATTAGCCTCAATCTCATCATAATTGGCTGTTTTATAAACTATGAACTCCCCTGGTCTTAATCCTATATTTTTTCCATTAGGCAAATATAAGAGAGAAGGCAAAAAGGCACTTAACTACTCTTTAACAGCTCATTTAATAAAGAAAACAGTCACATTAAAAGATATGTGCTTCATGTCAATTCCTGTGCATTAAATCTTAGCAAAACTGGTGCAGCAGTTATACACATGACCGTAGGACAATTGAACATATATTCCAAAATAAAGAGTAAAATAAGTTCTGGAACAAGGTAGCAAAGCAGCCAAGGATACAATCAGAAAGTTGTAGTTTCATCTTAGTAAGTAAAACTATTTCTCTGTGAAGGACTGTTCATAGCTGTGAGCCTAGCATTAATTTGAAAGGATTCTTTATTGATGCTTCCACCATTAAAATATTTTAGAAAATATTAAGATACAACATTTCATTTATGATTTTCCAAATAAAATGCCTATTGGAAATGACAGAAGGCAAAACCTAGTATAGTCCTGGATATGAGTTGCTTAGCAACCATTTGAAAGTACAATGGACCCCTGCCCCTCCCACACAAAAAAGGACTTGTGACCTGGATTCAAAGTTCCAATGGCTGTCTGCCCCTCCCCCACCCAAGCATTTGTAGCTATTGGCAGTGTCCTGCAATCATGTGACCATGATTTATTACTTTTTTTGGCCAGAAACTGGCATTTACTTCTAGCTTCTGGCAAAAATGCCCATTGGGGACAATGGGTTTGCTTAATGACCATGAATTCACTTTTAATGATTATGATGATTCCATTAATGACTACTGCAAAATGCGTTTTAAAATTGGGTCAGTCATGTGATGACCCATTTAACGACTGGCACACTTATGAATGTAATTCCGAGCTTTCGGTTGCGAGTCAAGGACTATTTGTAACACTTTAGGAAAGGATCAAATACAGTACTGAACATCTAAAGAGTGTTCAGGTGTTTGTTCAAATTTCTGTGGTTTATCAAGCGGGTGAATCAAATCTAAGGCATCAGATTAAACAGAGCTGGCATTTCAGAAACACCGGTGATGTTACAGTGCATTTCTTTCATTTTAAGTCAGATATACTCTAAAGCAGTCCCAGCCTGAAAATCCTTGCTTCCTATCTCAGGATTTTTGGTAGCAACTGGCTTGCTCATCGTTTCCATGGGGGCCCCAGGAGCTGGAGCTACAATAATAGTTTTAACCATTCAGAAATCCTACAAGGCTGCTATATATGTTTTTTGAGGCCAGCTGCTCAAGTGGAAATACATCCAATCATGCAGAGAGATGGGAGTTAAACTCAGTTGCAAACGACAAAAAGCACAGGCAAAAAAAAAAACCCACTATAGAAAATGTCAATTTTATTTATATTAGAAATGAATTTGACAAATCAAATCATCTTTCTAACCAAATTAATGTCATCGTGCTGGCAGATTTGAATTAATTAAATGCCTACCTTCATGGCTTCTTCGGATTGTGACAAGATGTTTACATGCACTCATTTGAACTCAAGTTAACAGCAGCTGCTGAATGTTAGTAATGATGCATCAAAAGCCAATCTAGATGAACCCATGGAGCATTAGCAGGCATGAATACAACTACTTCACCATAGAATAAAAGCCAGTAAAGGATAACTTATAAATCAATGTGTTGTCAGAAACAATAATATATTGTTTCCATCTTGAAGTTTATTTACTATAATATATACTGAAAACCAAAGTAGCTTGTTTAGATTTGAATTATCAGCTAGAAATCCATTTTGGATTTATAATAACTTTTTTTTCTGTACAGAATCAGGACAGTTTAAAATGGGTCTTTACCAACCTCATAATTACAGGCCAGTTTACAAATTTAGATAAGTAAATCTGAAGCAATTGGAATATGGTAGAGACAAATTAATTAAGAGTCCATGATTGTGAATGCAAAGGGTCCTTTTGTTTAGTAACTGCCTCATTTAGTGAAGCTAAAATGAGGATTAAAAATTTAAGAACCAATCCTTACATTTTTGATCTTTGCAAGTCTGTGAAGCAAAGATGAAGATTATAAGCAGAGTCAGTTACTTAGAAACTGCTTTGCTTAAAAACCAAGTTGCCAATCCCAACTCTAGTTGCTATAAAAGACTATTCATACTGGCCAGGACCCCAACCTTTTGGCACCAGGGATTGGTTTTACGGAAGACAATTTTTCCATATATATATATTTTTTTTTTGGGGGGGGGGAGGAGCAGATAACCTACATTCCATATGTGTGCAGTTTTGCTTGCCTGCTACTCATCTCCAGCTGTGCAGCCCAGTTCGTAACAGGCCATGGATAGATACTGGTCCACAGCTTGGGGACCCCTGCCCTTAATTTATCCCCTGCTCTCAATACTTGAGTGTTCTAGACACTTTGTTTCCACCATAGAAAAAAGTCTATTGCACTTTTCTCCTATGATGGGGTCAGAGAATTTTCTGAGATAGAAATCCATTGGTGGCTGTGCGGATGGGGAAATAATCCTGCTGGGAACTATTTTCTGCTTTTATTTATTGGCCAAATGATTGTTTTGATGAACTGTAACTACTGGGCAAGTACTTCTAGAGTTAGCAGAAGGTTTGATCATGGCCATTCATAGATAGATAACAGAAAAAACTTCCTTTAAAATATCTTAGTGTGAGACTGGCAAAGAGCTCTTCAATGGTCTCCAGTGCTAGAATTGAGGAAAGGGACAACTCCTATATGCAGAGGGTTTGGTTATCCTTGTTGAAGTCTGCATGTAGTAAAGGCAAGACCTGGAAATAAAATCTGATGTTGTAGAGCCTCCCTTCATTTTGGGCTCAGTAATAGAAAGCTTCCCATGTGAATTCATATATGTAGATGGTAGAAAGTCATTTGGATTCTATAATAGTATGTATGATTTTGTAATTATCTCTAGGTTGGTGAGATAAATCCAAACTCCTGGCATATAACTGTAACCAGATGATCCCCCTTGATTTAGTCTAGTGATGTCCAGAAGCTCCTTTTAAGAAATTGATAGCTTGCCTTGATTGAAGTATCAGTTTCCTGGCACAGTTGGGTGCTATTAGCATACTCAGTATAATTCTATTCTCCAGTTCTGAACTAGTCTCAGGAGTCTAGGTTAATGGGGAAGGTATGTAGCAGGCAGTGGTGGGTTCTGGATCCCCTTGCAACAGGGGCCGGTGTCCTCTACATCAGTGTTTTTCAACCACTGTTCCGCGGCACACTAGTGTGCCGTGGCATAGTGTAAGGTGTGCCGTGGGAAAATTACTTTATATATAGTCAATATAGGCACAGAGTTAAATTTTTTTAACATTTTCTAATGGTGGTGTGCCTCGTGATTTTTTTCATGAAAAAAGTGTGCCTTTGCACAATAAAGGTTGAAAAACACTGCTCTACATGAATGTGTGCAGTGGTCGCGTACGCGTTCTTACCTCCTGCGATGTTCTGTGACGCTTCAGCTGCTCGGCGTAGCGTCGCGCAGGCGCCGTACGCTCCGTGCACAGAAGCCCGAAGAGCTCAAATACAGGTAAGGACAGCAGGCGGGCCCTCTGGAGCACCATACCAGAACAGTACCTGGCGCTCCTAGCAGGCACCGGTACGCCTGTATGACCGGGGCATACCGGTCGTAACCCACCATTGGTAGCAAGTTTTTGGGCCATGTGCATTTAAATATGTTTACTGCCTATAATTCCTGAGATAGGGAGCATGAGATGAAGCTGTTTTGCCTTGAGCTGATGGGAGTTATCAGAACATCCCTTATTAACTCAACATAATTTGCTTCAACGTTCTGAGGCTGAGGTCTATTACCTGAGTTCTAAACCTCAGCAGTTGAATTTATCTGATGCTCAGCCCAAAAGTTTATCTTATTCATAAGCTTTGCTTTGCTCAGCTTTGGTGGTACTATCTTTTCAGAAGTTCTTTTAGATTGTCCCAGAAGATATAAGCTTTGAGTTTCCTATTCTTAAACTATTTCTCCTAACCAATCCAGGCTCCTCTCCTGAGAGTGATGTCTCTGATTAATAAAAACTGGCCAGAGAGCAAATTTTCCCTTCCCAAGAGTCACAATTTGAGAGATGTCTTCACTTTCAGTGGAATTGATAGATGTTTTTCTTAATATTTGGGCTATTTGATTCTGGAAAGGAAGAAGCATTTACTTCAGGGAAAGGATAATACATATTGTATTAATCAATGTATCAATAATACATTGATACAGGCAATTATTTAACCCTGGAGACTGAAAATCATAAGTTCCAGGAAACTGGTTTGGAGGAATTATGTGGCCACCTATTGGATTGTCTCTTTTCTCTTCTTTGCAAGGGAGATCAGCTCTCTTTGGTATCCAGGTGCGGTAGGACATGTGCTGGTTGAAATATGCTCTTGACTTTTTGATGGTCTAATCATGATTCATAAACATGTCTTCTGTATGATTTGAAGTGGACTATGACAGTTGCTATCTCCTTTGTGTATATTATGCGAGCTGACTGGCTAATGAGAAATTCGCTGATGCTGAAACCCAAGGAATGTTCTGTGGGATGAATAGATTGGAATGTGTAAATGGGCCACCTGTTAAGTCTAGCAAGTCTATGACATAGTTTTTTCTAAAGACTCTCTCACTGGCTATCATGTTTTCCATCCAGAACATGCAGTATTTGATATGATAAGATATTCTGCTTCCCCTGTTTTTTTTAGATATTATTAATATGGAGAAAAAAAACATAAACCTTCTCAACCATGTGATCTCTAAGGCTACTGAAGGCTAATGATAGCTTATAGCAGATGTTTTGTTGGTCTCTATGAAGAAAGGAAGAAATGACATTCTTGGGAGGAGGGAGTATGCTAAATATGTTTGGTTATCTTTAGGAATGTTGTATGTTATATGAATTCAAAGGTAGGGCAGTATGTTGTTACCTAAAGGAGCTAGATCTGGGCACCATTATGTTGGCTTAATTCTCTTGAAAAGATTAAGCATGGATCTGGAAAGTTAGAAAATAAACTTCTTATTTGGCCTCCTCATAGAAAGCTCCAAAATGTTCAGACGCTACATTGCTGTCCATTAGATTACTGACTACTAGGTTAAGGTCTCCAAAAAAGGAAAGTGAAAATCATGAAAACTAAAAAAGGAAAAGGAAAAAGTGTTATCATGGTGGTTCTAGCCATGCTAGTTTGCAGGCAGGCAGGACTACTCTCCAGAGGAAGCCAAGATCAGGAAAACTGCCTCCACAGGAAGTGACATCAGAACCCTTTCTAGCTCTCTGGAATCAGGAGAGGTGTATCTATTTCTGAATGCCCTTGCTCTGGTGTAGGAGTAGAAACAGGTACTTGCTGGCTGCCTAGAAGAAAAGCATCTCTGTTGCCCAGACCACTCTTCACAGAACACTCAATGGAACTCCAAAGTTCCCCTAAGTTTTCAAATCACATGTGCCACCTTTGGGATAGAAACCATTATATTAACAATTCAGCACTGGACAATAAAATAATGAATTTTAGGTTTCATGATCATAGTAAATCCTATGTTTAATAATTACTGCCATATTACTCTATCAACTAGGTCTCCATCTCTCTTTTTGTAGCTCTTGTTTCTTAAGTGTTTTAATAAATACATTAACTTATTTACAAAAAAGAAATAACCATCCAGTAATGGACAACAGCTCCACGCATGTGTGTGCATAGAAGCCAAGTCATATATCATGCAGTATCCTTTAAGCTTCCAGCCAGAAATGTGGCAAATAATGAAAATTGAATTATTTGGTATCCAGCATCCAAAATTCCCTCAAGACATATCACTTGAAACATAATAGATAGTAAAGTTCAAAAGTTAGTAAATCCAATATAGTAAAAGTATGCACACAATACAGCCAAATACACTAAAACACAACCAGGGTTTTTAAAAAGCTCATAGCTCACAATTCTAATCCACTCAAAATGAGGCACACTCTTTGCCAATCTCATGTATAGCCAGGCATAGCATGCTTAATAAATGCCAATCTGAGATTTTTTGAAAGGGAGTTCTTGATTTCTTTAGAGTTCAAAAATACAATTATCATCACTTTTCTTTCCTGAAAAAAATCTCAGACATTTACTAGCAATATCATTTTAAAGGATCCCAATTATTCTGTAAGGTCACTCTGATATAAAAGCCAAAATATTAAGCGAGTGTCTAACATCTAACATGTGTTACAATACTAAAACAGCTCTAATATCTCATCTGATAACACCAACAAATAAATATATGAAGAAAAAAAATCCAGTAGCTAAGTTATTAGTGTTGTCCGTATAATATACTTTAAAGGGCCTAACGTCTTCCCAATGTTCTGGATTAAAGCACAAATTAACTCTCAGTTAGGACTTGTGGGGAGTGGAAGGAAAGCTGGTTCAAAATTTCAATGAAAGAGAGCATTTAGTTCCAGCTTGCAATCATGCAGTTGCTCACTCCAAAAACATTATATACAATCTCCCAAACATGTATCTAGTGATTTATAATGTTTCCCCTAAATCCTTATTTAACCATACAACGGCTCTATAAGGTAAATCTTTTATTTTTAATACTACTACAAATAAAGAGAATCAAATTAACAGATGATTTCCTTAAGGCTTTTGGGCAAACACATGGTAGAAAGCATGGAACTCTCTCCACAAAGGACTTCTAGGGGTCTCCATGCTGATGGAGAATGTATTTTAAAGGTATATAAATCATCCAAAGTACTAACCTGTCTCAGCTTGAGGCTGGGGCAGCTCCTGTTCCGTTGCCGGGACAGTTTCTGTGGCTTCTCCAGGCATTTCTTGATAGAACAGGAACAAAATAAAAGGTAAGTTATTTTTGTCCTATTATCTTATCTATTGTAGAATACTTTTTTACAATAAAGTCGTAAAGTGTTGCAGTCATGATACCCAGGCAAACCACTTATACATAAGACCTTTAGATACTGTATTAAGATATTAATCCTAAAAAGACAATTTACAGGTAGTCCTCAACTTACAACAGTTTGCTTAGTGACCAAAGTTACAATGGTACTGAAAAAAACTGACTTATGACAATTTTCACACTTATGACCATTGCAGCATCCCCATGGTGACACGATTTACATTTGAATGCATGACAACTCATCCACATTTATGACAGTTCCAGTATCTTGGGGTCATGTGAGCATCTTTGTGGAACCTTCTGACAAGCAAAATCAATGGGGAAACCAGATTCATTTAACAACCTTGTACTAATTTAATAACTGCAGTGGTTCACTTAACAAATGTGATCAGAAAAGCCATAAAATTGTGTCAAAACTCACTTAACAAATTTGTGACTTAAGCAACATAAATTTTGGGCTAAGTTTTGGTTGTAAGTTGAGGACTACCTGTATTTCAATATTCAGCCAAATGTTTTAAAGTATTAAAAATGCTGATCTGGTCTTCATTTTTATAATCTTATAACTGCCTTATTATCTCAGTTAAGTGGTCAATGCTTATGATCCAGCAGCAACAACAAAAATAAGTCGAATTATTAATATACACAAGTTACTTGTGTATATTATGCCAGTTCAACTGTGGAAGATGTATGCACCTCAAGTTTCATTACTAGATATTCTCATACGTTGAAAAACCTTTACACCCACAACTTCTACCCCTTCCCTAAATAAAGCTTGGTTCTGTAAATCACCTTGTTTTTTATTTTATCACACCACCATCACCGTGTACTTTCCAGGTACCTTTTACCAAGCAAACATCCTTTCACATGCCACTTCATCAGAAGGATGGACTGAACAAGGGGACAGTGCGTAAGCGCACCAGCGTGCCCTCCATCCCTGTCCTACTGTCCCCATTTATTTGTACTCATTTCCCTTGTTCATGTCCATGTTTATATTTTTACCTGTCATCTTGTACATGTTTGACAAACTAAATAAGAAAAAATAAAATAAATAAAGTGTTAGTATTCTCTCCCTTCCACTAAATATATTTATGCCTGTGTGCTGACACTACCACCACCACCATTATTCCACTTATCGCCCTGCAAGCTTTCTTCCTAATTTTTTGTCCCATCCTTGCTCAGTGCCTTGCTCTGAGGGGAACGTTTCCCAAGCACAAAGTTCGTGTGAAAACAGCAAGGAGTTCACTCTCTTGGCAAATCCTGTCGCCCTGTGCTTGACCACATGCAGAAAATCTAGGCCAGAGGTCTTCAAACTTGGCAACTTTTAAGACTTGTGGCTGGCTGGCGAATTCTGGGAGTTGAAGTCCACAAGTCTTAAAGTTGCCAAGTTAAGGGGACCCCTGATCTAGGCGTCGCGAAAGACTCCACCCCAACTCTGACCACAACCTTCCCCTTCAATTCTTTATATCAAACAACATGGAGGGGGAGGAGGGCCCGTTTAGCAGAGTCTCCAGTCCAGCCACCGCCCACAATTGAGCAAACCAGGACCTGACCAAGAACGTTAAGTTCTCTCGTCCCCTCCGGCTTTATTGGAAGCGCCGGAGTCTTCCTAAGGGACGGCCTTCTTCTCCCTTGTGCGTTCATTACCAAACATCATTCTTCCGCCCCCAAACTCCAGGGAGCCTCTCCCCTTGAACCGCAAGGCCGCCCTGACGCCCCATAACCCAGAGCGAATGGCCCACAGCGGCCTATTCGGAGCCCCCGCCGAATCTAACCGTCCCGGGTCGCCCCGCCGCCCTCGGCCCACCCCTCTGGAGCCACTTCAGCGTTTCCCATTTAGGCGGCTCCCCGCCGGCCGGCTTACGGAGGCATCAGAGGCGGATTCCGGCGGATACAAACGACGAGACTTACCGTTCGAGACAATCCGGGCGCAAGATGGCGGAAGAAAAAGACAAGGGAGGTGAAGGGAAGCCGACATCCGGTGTGCGTCGGAACAGCTTCCGGGTCTTAAAAGAATCTGTTTTACCACGTGCTCTTTGGGAGATGCTTCCGGACTCTTCGGAAGGTTGCTTGTTAAAACTTCGGATGGTGAAGCAAAAGTTGGTAGAAGTTCCTAAGTCACGGAGGACACACACCCCCCCAAAAAACCCCACCCATCAGTCATACCAAAGGTGCTTTTTTCAACTGGAACTGGACTTCCTGGTTTTTAAATATTTATTTTTTCATTTGATTTGTCAATCATTTACAAGATAATAGGTAAAAGAATAAAAACGAGTATGAATGAAATGGTAGGGATAAATGGGGACAGTAGGACAGGGACGGTAGGCACGCTGATGCGCTTATGCACGCCCCCTTACAGACCTCTTAGGAATGGGGTGAGGTCAATAGTAGACAGTCTAAGGTTAAAGTTATGGGGATTTGAAGCTGTAACAACAAGATTCCAGGCATTGACCACTGTTGCTGAAGTCGTATTTTCTGCAATCAAGTTTGGAGAGGTTTACATTTGAGTTTGTATCTGTTGTGTGGACAATTTTGTGTACTACTCTTTAAGTCCAACTGTAGGCAGCGTAGTTCTAGGTTGTCCAAGGCCAAAATTTCAAGCCTGGTGGTGTAGGGTATTTTGTTGTGATTACTCTTTCACTCTTCTCATGAAATACTTCTGGACCCTTCTTTGAAGGTGTTTCACTTCTCATCCAAGAATCTTCTTCAGTTTTGACTGGGTGGTGGGTTGAAGCTTCTTGGATGAGAAGCGAAACGTCTTCAAAGGAAAAAAAAACCCAGAAAGTCCAGTTCCCTCTTGAAAAAGCACCTTTGGGACAACCATGACCTGGATGACTGAGAATCTTCATAGACACCTATCAGTCATCAACAGTAGGAATAGTAAAGACAAAAAGTAAAGTCTGTTTATGAATAGATGGTTCTTAATATTTCCTTTATTCTGTAGTATCTATTTACTTATCCAATTTCTGCACCACCCACCTCACTTAAGTGATAAGGGAGTTTACAAAAGTATAAGCACAGAGATGAAAAACAATGAAAGCCAGGTTAAAAAGCTGCTTAAAAAATTAAAATAAATTGTTGGAAGAAATTTCCTGTGTTTGTTTCCTAGCAGGGAAGCAGTCACGGATGCTGAGAAGAAATAGACATGGAAGCAAACTTCCAGAAAAGGGATCCTTTAATTCAGGAAGGCAAGAAAAGTAGTGACACAGCTGAGCATTCCTGGTTTGCAAGCAGATTTGGGGTGTGACTCTGAGCCTTTTATGCTTAATTCCCCATTTGAAGCTCCTGCAGCTTGATGGCTTTATTTGTGTGCCTCTAGTTAAAGTGATTGCCCTGGATCCTCTCTTCCTGCCTTAATGGGTTAATCCTGTCCCAGGACCTTTGTCTTTCCTATTCTGGGGGTTAATCTTGTCAGGGGGAAGGAAAAAGGGAGTTCTGGTTTTGCCTGTTGAATTATTTTTAGCCTGATTCTCCTTCTCTTAATGCAGGGGTCTTCAAACGTCTTAAATGGCAGGATATAATTCCTGGTACTTCAGACTGTTGGTGGGCCCGGACCGCTGGGTGGGCATGGCTAGGTCGTGTGACTAGGTGGGCCTGACCAATTTAACAGTCCATTAAACTGCACACAAATTAAGCTTTAATTTGTTTTACTCCTGCGGGTGTTTTAGTTGCTTTTGTTTGCATGTTGCTCTTTTGGTTGACTTTTTGTTTTACTAGATATCTTTTTTCAGTTGTTTAGGAGTCTAGTGGTCCACTTCAGGAAACCCAGTTTTGTAGCAATTCTTTTCAGACCCAAGGAGCTTACAATCAACAAGTCTTTGTGTGTGTGTGTGTGTGTGTGTGTGTGTCCCCGTCTCTCCCCCCCCCTACTTCTATCTTCTGGAGGGGGAGATAAAAGTGGACCCATTTTTCACCCCTCCTCCAGAAACATTTTGCAGGAAAAAAANTAGGGAAGTAGAAGAGGGGAATGCTGGAGGGGTGAAAGGAAAGTTGGAGGGGGAGAAGAGAGGGTGTATGGGGGAATGAAGTGTTATGTTGGGTTTTTTTTTCCTTTTTTCTTTTTTTTATGCACAGTATATAAGTGATTGTATAAAATGAAAATGAAAATGAAATAAAAATATCCAGTCGAAAAAAAAAAAAGAATTCCACACATCCCAGGATTCCTACTGTCATGTGACCACAATTTGGGCACTTGGCAAGAGGCTTGCACTTATAACTAGTTGCAAGCCATTTACAACCTTCCCTGCTGGCTTCCCCAGAAAGTCAATGGGGAAGCCAGCAGGGAAGGTCACAAGTCACTTCGGTAAGCCTCTCCTACCTGTCTGTAGACATTCTCAGTCATTCAGGTCATGGTTGTCAAAATGTGCTTTTTTTCCAGGAGGCAACTGGACTTGTTTAATGGGGAATGGAAGGATCCCCACTGCAAGGAATATAATTTCCCCACTATCCTGTCAGAGCTGAAGAAGCTTCTTGGATAAAAAGCGAAATAACTTCAAAAGAAAAAACAAAGTCCACTCGCCTTCTGAAAAAATAGCACCTTTGGGGCTCTCCTACCTGTGCACTCTCTTAGCCCCTCTGTCCTTGTGCTGGCTGCTTGTGCACACCTGCGCATCCTCTCCAATTTTCCCTATGCCTCCCTCACATCCAACACGATACACACTCTTTTGCACCTCCTCAACTGATATACTATACTCAGACCTCCTGCTCCCGTGCTCAGCAGCAGCCACTTACCCATCTGCCTGGGACTTGCAGCTTCCTTTTGGCCTTTCTAATGACTTTTGCTGCGGGAAGTGGGCAAGAAGTTTCCTCACCTAATGCCCTTGGGATTTAGTTAACAATGGTAACTGGGAATGCAGGGATTGCTGTTGCTAACCAATACGAACGCACTTCCACTTCGTAACTACATCACTTAGCAATGAAAATACCGGTCCCAATTGCCATTGTAAGTCAAGGATTACCCAAAATTCTTAAAAACCATAGTCACCAGTCAAAACTGCATGATGTCATGTTGCATAAAGCATAAATGTATATGACACATACTGTATTCTGCAATATAAACCCCTATTGTTTCAAATGTGTATCCCACTGATTATACTCCCATGTTATGCAAAACCAAATATTTATTTTATGTGGCGCTCAGCTGTTGGCTGAATGGCTATTAATGCTTTTATCGCCTCTTCTTCAGCAAAGACAAGCCTATTTTGACCTTGTCTGTAAATGGCTGATTTGTGCACAAACCTAGCAAAACAGTCAAGAGTTCTACTGTATTTGAATACAATTTATCTGGCCACATGAAGCTGCCCTGTGACAATGCACTATGTCTTCAAAACTTCAGAAATCCATCTGCATGTCTTTAAGGGGAAAAAAAGGGAAAATTAATTTTAAACACAATTAAGGCATACTGTGAAGAAACTTAATATGTAATACAACAAATTATATCAACTTCCTCCAAACTGAAGAGAGATTAACTTCAGCGAGTTGGAGTTGGAGTTGGCATCCTTCTGAAGCATGCCCTTACCACTCTCTTTCAAACGTTGTCCTTTGTAAGATTTCTCCATTTCTTCTAAAAACTGTTCGAAGACTTTCACATATGGAGCTAGACTGGTTTTCTTATAATCTGTTAAAAAAAAGATTGGGAGGGAAGAGAAAAGACTCATTTTATTTTTAAATTTTAAAATCATAACTATTTAAACAGATGCAAGAAATTAAATTTGGCTCCCAGCTGTCCATTTGTTCCAGTCAATATGAAAAAGATTAACCGCACTTCCAGGTCAGATGCTTTATGCATTCCTGATTTGACCCCAAGACATGCCAGATTTAATTCTGATTATGTTGTATTTTTTTTCTATTTGTAAACATTTCAGAAAATTGATGTTACATTTCAATTAACCATCAGTCTTGCTATGCTGCTTATTACTATTATTTTTTTATAGAATATAGAATAACAGAGTTGGAAGGGACCTTGGAGGTCTTCTAGTATAACCCCCTGCCTAGGCAGGAAACCCTGCACCACTTCAGTCAAATGGATATCCAACATCTTCTTAAAAACGTCCAGTGTTGGAGAATTCACAACTTCTGGAAGCAAGTTGTTCTACTGATTAATTGTTCTCACTTTTAGGAAGTTTCTCTTTAATTCCAGGTTGCGTCTCTCCTTGATTGGTTTCCACCCGTTGCTTCGTCTCCTGCCCTCAGGTGCCTTGGAGAATAGCCTGACTCCCTCTCCTTTGGGGCAACCCCTGAGATA